GAATCTCAGGATAATGACATGTACCAGATCTTCAACAGGATTTTAGAAGTAAATTTCCCAAAATTAAAGAAAGACATGCTCATACAAATTCAAGAAGCTTATAAGATACAAAATAGACAAGACCAGAAAAGAAACTCTCCACAGCACATCACAGTAAGAACACTAAATGTACAGAGCAAAGAGACAATACTGAAAGCTGTAAAAGAGAAACAACAGGTCACATATAAAGGAAAGCGCACCAGAATTACAGCTGACTTTTCAGCACAAACTATGAAAGCCAGAGAGCCTGGACCAAAGTATTCCCGGTTCTAAATGACCACAGATGCCAACCCAGATTACTTTACCCAGCTAAAATGTCTATTATAGTCGAAGAGGAAAGAAAAATCTTCCATGACATAAATAGGCTCAAGGAATTCATGTCCATAAAACCAGCCACTCAGAGAGTTCTTGAAGCAATACAAAGAGCTGAAGAAAGGAATGAAACAGTAATACAATATCCAGGGGGTTACAGAAAGAAACTTAATGAAGGTATAACTATGGAAATGCACAGCTACACCAAGAATGTGAACAGAAATAAAAACGATGGAAATCAATACACATCTTTCATTAATAACTTTAAATATCAATGGACTAAACCCCCCAGTCAAAAGACACAGATTAGTTGAATGAATTAAGAAACAAAAATCCATCTTTATGTTGTCTGCAAGAAACTCATCTCACTTTCAAGGACAGGCACTACCTTAAGGTGAAAGAATGGAAAAAAATATACCACGTGAATGGTACTAAGAAAAAAGCAGGTGTTGCAATTCTAATATCTGACAAAATAGACTTTAAACTAAAACTAATCAGAAGAGATAAAGAGGGCCACTCCATTCTGATAAAAGGAAAAATTGACCAAGAAGATATTACAATCGTGAACACATATTCACCAAACTCTGATCACCCAACTTCATAAAATCAGTATTACAGGACTTTAACTCCCAATTTCCTTATATGTTATGAGTCTGTTTAAACTGTTGAGCTATTCTTGATTCACCTTTGGTGGTTCCCATGATTTTAGATACCCATCCATTTCATTTGAAACTGGCACCAGAGAAAATTTTTACACAGCAGATGGTGATTAACCCAGAAAACCACAACTGGCCAACGTGTAGAGAACCAAGAGCCACAGAGTGGTTATCACTGATTAGAACACCTATTTCTGCCCCTTCTTTAATGATGTTCCTTGAGCCTTAGCTGTATGGATTGTATTGTAGATATATCAATTGGGTTGGCCTTCCCATAATCATTTACTTTCTGCATTGTGACCAGTTGTTGTTCTCTGTAGTAGCCTCCCTCTGCTGCAAAAAAAAAGATTCTTTGGTGAGTGGTGAGAGCTATATTAACCTATGGTTATAAAGATAAGCATTTAGAATAGAATTAGAAATTATATTGATTTAGGAAAACAACAGTAGTAGATTCTCTTCTAGGGTCTCTGACATCTCCAGCCATGGGTATTTGACTAGGTTTATAGTATCAGGCATGAATTATGACCCATTAACTGGACCTTAAGTCCAAACAAACAGATACAAATGCCATTTTTAAGTTTCTTGTATAACCTAAGGATCAGAAACAAGAAAATTTAGTTATCACACTCAAACTTCTGCTTGATTCATTACAGACTATGAATCACATTTTCCCCCATATCAGGAAAAAAATCTTCATGAGCCTCCAAGTTTCTAATACTCATCTTGTTTTTAATAGTATTTTTGCAAGGGTGAATTCTCCAATGTCTGCTTCAAAACAAAGTCCTATCACCCAGGCACCAAAGGGAATTTAGTAATTATATTGCTTTCTCTAATTTGAGGTGGTGTATTGATGTATTGTCCCCCTGGGTCCTCTCACAGTTTTGAAACCTTAGAACTAACACGAATTTTTCAGGAGTTGCTCCCCAAAGTATATTGATATATTGATCTATGTTTCTTGTTTGTGAGCTTATAACTCAATGCATCTGTTTTACTTATTCCATGCATCCTAGAGTGAAATTGAGGAATTCTCCTATGGCTTATTGCTGAATATAACTGTGTTCATCATCTAAGGAGCCATGTAAAAGCAAGTCTAAAACATATTCAGTGGTATATTTATATGTGTTTGTGTGTCTATATTTGTATCACCATATTACTTGTCTTTAGCTTCTCTCCTTCCTAAATATGCCAATATCCATGTAGATTAATTTATCTGTAACTGAACACCTGTACAAATTTTGAGATGAAAGGGTAAAACCAAAATCTCCATGTATAATAATTTTTTCTTAAAGTCTATACTTTCTATCTAAAAAACAATGGAAAATACTTATCATTTTGCTCATATTTGACCTCTACTAGGCTTTGTGGGGGATTTCTTCCAAGTTCAACCTAAATACTTGAAATTTAATTCATTTCTGCTTCCATAGTCTGGGTAAAAGCAAGTGTTTTGTATCTAAATCACTGAAGCAAACACAGGTCCCTGCTTACACCATTCCTTGATTCAAACTGATTCTAGTATCAGTAGACAGCAGTATGTTAAAAGTGTTATTCATATTCTTTAAAGAATCTTTTCTTTTTCTTTGAGAAAAAGTTCAAAATTTTCTATAATAGCAGGAAGGACTTATGTATGACAGCTCCTCAATAATTCTCCAACTGGATATTTTTTTCCAGGCTGATCAAAGTCTCAGTATTTCTCTGTTCTTCAAATACCTAATCCAAAATCTCATTCCAGAAACTTAGGTGGAATGCCCATCCACATATTTTTCTACTTACGGGTTTGTATATCCAGGACTCTTTTTTTAAGAACATGTATGGTTAGGTTTCTTCTTAACTTAGCCTCTGAAATTTGATCATCTGTCAAAATCATCAATATTCATCCTTCCAATTCTATCTCTAGGAATTCATATAATAGATATAGGCTAATGTACATAACTTGAATGAAATAATTGATTATATTACTCAAAATAGCAAGGCATTAGTAACAATGTAAGTGTCTAAAAGAGAGCCAGATAGCATTATCATTATGGAGAACTATCATTAATGTGGTAATGAGTATCATGACTGGGTCGTCCATCTCAGGAAATATTATCACATGAAAAGAATGTTTAGCGTGTGTGTAACGTAGACTGAAGACTGGAAAGCTTTAAAGATGATTTCCTTCAAGGTGGAAAAATTGGTACAATTATATAAGGATTAATTAACTCTCAAAATGAGTGGTGAGCAAAACTTCAGGCATCTGTTCAGCTCTGACATGTGAAACATGCAGATTAGTGAGTCTTTATATAAAACACGGAGTCTGTTTTTAAGAAGACAGATCATAGAGTTCTTTTTCTCTGTTATATTGGAGTTGTTCAGCTGGACAGGGCTGGAATCAAATGACCAATATAAAAAGAAAGTACTGACAAATATCAAAAATATTAAAACATGGTAATAAGTTATCTTGAAGAATCACTAGTATAATATCCAGAGTAGTAATAATAATAAAGGAGAAGATATTATTGTTGGACATAAGCAAAAAGTACAATTTTGGAAGATCCAAGATTTGGTTTGGAAACCCAAGTATTTCTTGTTGTTCTAAGAAATTTAAAAAGGATTGTATGACTGCATATAGGGAATATACCAGAAATGAATTTAAAAGAGAAACAGATTTTTCTTCCACATTTCATGAAAATATCCGTAGGAAAGATGAAGGAATGAATGCTGAAAATGTTGAGTGTCAAGAAATATTCTATTTAAAAACAGTCTACATAGTGAGTTCCAGGACAGCTGGGGCTACAGGGAAACCTGCTTCAAAAAGACAAAAATAAACAGTATTTTTGTTGATTCTTTGAAATTTTTGTATGATGTGTTTCAAGCCCCCATCTCCTCTCAGAACCCCCCCCCGCCTACTTTGCCCACACTTCATGTTCATTTTCTATTTATATTTTCCTCAATGTGCATTTTATTTTTGCATTTCATACAATACATCTTAATCATATTTAGACACCCTCTCCCATCAATACCCCACCATAGTCCCCACAATGGGTTTCAGAACATCTGGGTACACAATCTTGAGTCACTATTTTTTAAGGCCTATTGAGTCAAATTTGTGTTCTCCAAGTATCTTGAGTAGAGGCACATCCCCTGGAGTATGATCAACCTACCCAGGCTACACCCTTAAAGAAAATTGACTCTCCCTCTTCCTGCAGCTATCAACTTGTAATAGCTCCTCAGCTAGGCCTGGGGCTTCTTGTCCAATTCTTCCCTTCAGACGGTGTTTTTTACTGGTTTGAGTTTGTACAGGTTTTGAGCATGCTATCACAATTACTGTGGGCTGTGTCTTCCTGAGTTTGGGTCTCTGAACACAAGTATAAAGTATATGCATAAAAGTTGCATGTGGTATGATGTTTCTACGATACTGGAGCTCCTGCAGTTAGACTGAGAACCCCCAGAAGCACACAGACCAGATAGCCTGGTGTAAGAGAAGGTGGACAAGGGAGTCTGTCTAAAACAAGATAGAGGGTAAAGACCAATATGTGAAGATGTCCTCTGACATACACATACATACTGATATACATGACTATCCGCACATATCACACACACACAAACACACACACATCTACACATGTACACATGCACACACACATGCACGCATGCACATTCACATGCAAAAAAAAGGGTTAAAGAGATGGAAACATAATTACAGATCATCTATATTTTGATAGCTGGTTTCTCAGCTGACTTTGTACTCTAATTTCATAATCTAATTCCATCATCAGTTTATTCAGGTCAAGCCTGGTCTGAATTGATGATTGCTCTGTTGCTTCAGGATTCTCTAGAAGATCTTGAGTTGGTTTATAAGTCCCTTGTTCATAACATCATTGCCCTGCTACTTTGGCAAAAATCTGTGATTTGGGGTAAAATGAACCTACTAATCTAAAATGATATTTCTATTATGCAGTACTTACAATGACCCTTTCCATTTCTTTTTTTGTCAGCAACAGAAAAAAGAAGAGCATGAAGAAGGATAATCAGAGCAGTGTGTCTGAGTTCATTCTCCTGGGGCTCCCCATCCAACCAGAGAAGCAAGGCATGTACTATGCCCTGTTCCTGGCCATATACCTGACCACAGTACTGGGGAACCTGCTCATCATCCTGCTCATCAGGCTGAACTCTCGCCTCCACACCCCCATGTACTTCTTCCTCAGCCACTTGGCCTTCACAGACATCTCTTTCTCCTCTGTCACAGCTCCAAAGATGCTCATGAATATGCTGACACAGAGAAAATCAATCTCATATACTGGGTGTGTTTCGCAGGTGTATTTTTTCTTATTGTTTGGGGGTATTGACAGCTTCCTTCTAACTGCAATGGCCTATGACAGGTATGTGGCCATCTGCCATCCTCTGCACTACACCACCATCATGAGTCAGAGCCTCTGTTTCCTATTGTTAATTGTGTCCTGGGCCTTGTCCTGTGTCAGTGCCCTTGTGCACACCCTTCTCCTAGCTCGTTTGTCCTTCTGTGAGGATAATGTTCTGCCCCATTTTTTCTGTGACCTCTCTGCCTTACTTAAGCTGTCTAACTCAGACACCACCATCAATGAGCTGGTTATCCTCACTGTAGGGGTGGTGGTCATTACTGTGCCATTCATGTGTATTCTGGTCTCCTATGGCCACATTGCAGCCACTGTACTGCGAACTCCCTCAATGAAGGGAATCTGCAAAGCCTTGTCCACATGTGGCTCTCACCTCTCTGTAGTTTCTCTGTACTATGGAGCCATTATTGGGCTGTACTTTTTCCCTTCATCCAATAACACTAATGACAAGGATGTCATTGTAGCTGTGTTGTACACTGTGGTCATACCCATGCTGAATCCCTTTATCTACAGTCTGAGGAATCGGGATATGAAAAGAGCTCTGAGAAATATCCTCAAGAGGAGAGTGTCTTCACAATGATAGGCACTGTCTTCTCTATTAATATGGGGCCATTTCAAATCCATCTTAATATATCATTCTGTTTGATTTGCCATGGTTAGTGCCACTTCATGGGTCTTTTTTGCAGCCATTTTTTCTTTTTCAACTTTGGTGTGGTCTTGTCTTCTTTCTATTTAATTGTTGAGATTCTTAAAAGTCTTGCCACAGATTTTCTATATAAATTTACGTATTTTATTTTCCCATAGTTTTCATTTTAAATTTTCGCATGATCCCAGGTTTTACTTTTTATTGGATAGTTTGTACCCTCCTGAAATAAAGATATTTTTCCTTTATCAAGATAAAGTTTCCTCCAATGGGTACATAATTTTATTTTATATTTGATTTTATAATGTATTTGCAATTAGAAATAGTTCCACCTTTATTTGTAATTCCTTTGTTATTCATCAAATGTTATTTTTCATTTAGGAGATATATGAAATTGTGACTATTTATTTACAAAGTTCCCTGAGGTGTTTCATACTGTTTGTAATGAATGATGAAATCAGAGGAAATGCAGTCCCTCAAATATTTATCATTTCTTCATAGCGTAAACACTCAACATCTTTCTCCTATTCTTTTTTTAAGACTTTTTAAATGCAGATTTTTATTGAGTTTTTGTGCATTTCATACAGTAAGTCTTAATCATTTTAGAACCCCCTCTCCCATCTGTACCTGCTCCACCAGATTTCACACATTCTGTCATACTTAGGGCTGGGTATCTCTCGGGAACATATTCTCTGTGTGTGGCCAGTTGTGCAACTCTGCATTATTCTCCATCTGTTGCAAAAATGAGTTTCTTTGATGAGCGGTGAATGGTATACTTGTCTGTAAATATAAGCATCCATATTTAGCATACAGTAAGAAATTTCATTTGTCTAGGGACATGACAGAGATAGGGTTTTCTCTAGCATCTATGACCTCTCCAGCCATGTGTATTTGTCTATCTTTACAGTGTCACCCATGAGTTCTCACCCTTTGAGAGTGTTTTAAGTCTAATTAGATAGCTGTTGCTTACCCTCGAGATAAAAGTGTCACTATTGCACTACTATAGCTTGGTATGCCAGTTATTTTCATAGCTATTAGTCTTTAGGGTTGGGTTGGACCATTGATTGATTTTCTCCATTACAAGCTTACATAGTGTCCTCTAGAACCATGAGAACTAGTCTTCAGGGAGAAGCTTCCATGTCATTTCCAGCTCCATTGTTGCAAGTCCTGTGTCCTGTCTTCAGAAATAGGGTACAAAAGCTTAACTCAATAGGTCTTAACATATATGACAAAATGCATGAAATCTGGTTGGGGATATGGGGGTGCAGATGGGGAAACATCTAAACATTATTAAGATTTATTGTATGAAATACATAAAAATTTTAATAAAAGTGTACCTTAAAAAAGAGGGAAAGAGCCTGGCATGGTGGCTCATGCCTTTAATCCCAACACTTGGGAGGCAGAGGCAGGTGGATCTCTGTGAGTTCAAGGCCAGCCTGGTCTACATAGTGAGTTCCAGGACAGCTAGGGCCATAGTGAGACCCTGTCTCAAAAAGACCAAAAAAACAGAGGGAAAGAAAAAAAAATCTTTGCTGTTCACACATTGTAATCATAGCACTTGAGAAACTAGGACAAAGATAGCTCAATGAATTTGGGCCAGCCTGGGATATTTAGTAATTTTCAGTCCAACTTACCCTGCAGAGTATATTGCTGACCCTCCTTTCCCGCCCCAAAAGGGAAAAATGTGATGGTTGAAATCATCTGAAATATGAGTAAAGATGGCAACATGTAGTACAAGAAGTTGTACCTCTCTTTTAAAAAATATTTTATTTATTATTTTTATTTTATGTGTATGCATGTATTGCCTGCATGTAGGTAAGTGCACCCGTGTTGTGCAAGGCTGTGGAAAACAGAAGAGACTGTCAGAGCCCCTGGAACTGGAGTTACAGACAGTTGTTAGCTGCAATGTGGGTACTGGGATTTGAATTCGGGTTTTCTGCAAGAACAGTCACTGTTCTTAATCACCAAGCCATCTCCCCAGCTGCAAGAAATTGTACTTCTCTTAATTCACTTGAAGAGGAGCTCACTATGACATGTAATGATCAAACTATACAAACTGAAATAGCTGAACATAGATATAAAAAATTCTTAAAATGCTAGCACTCTCTATCCATTAGTAAATTCAAAGGATTGATTACCAACGTTAAATGGGATTGATCTCAGGGATGGTTTGCCACATGCAAGAGTCATGGTTCAGTCATGGTTTTGACAACTTAACTGAACAGCCATTGAATGTTTGTTGCCTGTTTCTGCAAAGAAACTTTGTAAAGCAAAGTTAAAACCAGGGGGACGCTACCCAGGAGAGTGGGGAAAGGAAGACAAGAAGGAAGATAATCTGAGTAAAGTGCATTCCCAAATTCTGTTCTTGGAAAATCTAATTGTAACCCAGGTAAAGTTATAGGCCCTGGTAGAGTCTTTATAGTTTGGTATTAACCACTAATTTTCTGATATGATGAAACAGGAATGGCAAAAGCGCTTGGGAAAATCTTTCAGAAATCTTTCTCTCCTCAAATTTTGCTAAGGACTTGGAGATAATGAGGTGAACTGTGAGTATAAGAGACACTTGGAGGTAAAAAATGAATTTTTAAAAAATATTTATAAAATTTTGAATACATAAAAGTATTTACCTGATCTACCTAATCCAGTCATTTATTTTCACTTTCGGAGTCTGCTGACTAGTTTTTTGACGACTTCACATGAACTGGCGTTACCTGGGGAGAGAAACCTCAGATGAAGTATTTCCCAGATCAGAATGGTCTGTGGGCATGTCTATGAGGCATTTTGTTAATTCACATTTGAAGTAAGAGAGCCTCGCCCACTGTGAGTGGTACCATCTCTGGGCAGGTGTGCCTGGGCTGTATAGGAATAGTAGCTGAGTAAGTTAGGGGAAGTAAGTTAGTAAACAACATTCTTCTGTGGTCTCAACTTCAGTTCCTGACTCCAGATTCTTGCCTTGAGTTCATGCCTTGCCCTCCCCCAATGACATACTGTAAAGTGTAAGATGAAATAAACCTTTTCCTTCTCAAATTGCTTTTGGTCAATGCTTTTTTTAAAAAAAATTCTTTTACGTGTATGAGTGTTTTGCCTGAACATGTGTAAGTGTACCTATGTCACGCAAAGCCTGCAGAGGCCAGAAGAGGGTGCTGGATCCCCTGAAACTGGAGTTACAGATGATTATTAACCACCATATGAGTACGGAGATTTGAACCTAGGTCCTGAGGAAGAGCAGCCAGTGCTATGACCCCTAGCCAGTGCTTTTGTCACAGCAAGAGACAGCAAATTAGAACAGGGGGAAATCAATATATCACTCATAAGATTCAACTTCTTTTCTACATCACTTCTATCAAGGGCTCAGAAAAGATCTCACATATTAGCATGTGCCCTTAATATACACACTCACAGTACAAATGTCTTGGTTAAATTGAGGTAAATAGACCTCAAATGAAAATATCACTCAGGTAAGACTTGGAATTTCATCTGCACTTCAAAAATATGATGGATAAATTTTAATTGAAACTGTATCAGTTGATCAGGTCAGAAAAAAAAGGAAAAGAATTCTTTTCCATAATTGTTCAAGAGCTGAGGGGCAGAGGTCAGGAACATGATCCTTGAGCATCAAAAAAGTTGAAACTTTCAGCCCAACATATAAAGTAGATGGCTTCAAAGTTAAACAAATAGGATTATTTTCAAATCTCAGGAGTCATTGAAAAACTTCCCCCTACTTGTCTGTCTACAGCTGTAATGAGGATGACTCTTATGAGTTCAGTGGGACAGTGCTGTGAATATGACATGTATCTATGTCCTGGTTATAACTGCCTCCAGGAAATAATGCTGGAGAGCCCAGAAGTGAATGAGTTAACAATAGACAGCATACTATTGGGCACAAGTACAGGAAAGACAGAAGGACTGGGTAGGAAATTCAGCACCTATCATTCAGGTACAGGAGTACGGTGAGGAATGTGAAGGCAAAGCCACCCCAGATGAACTTTCTAGAATGCCACTGGCCATGAACACAGGAGTGGAAAGGCAAGACCATCATTTCCTGATAGATCATCAAAGCGCTTTCCATTTAATGATGCTCAGCTTTTGTGATCATTAACCAACTTTTTCATAAGGGTTTATTGATATTCAGAAGAATGGTGTCGCCTGAGTTCCCTCTGGGTTTCTTGTGCTATCGAGCAAACCATATAACTTATCTTTATGTGCATTTATTAACTTACAAAGGAATGAGTACCCAGTGCCCAGCCCCATGCCACACTGTGGCTCAGAGCCCGCTGTATCAGACCATGCCATGCCCATAGTCACCACTAGCATTCGCTCATGCTTCAGGAGCCAGGTCCATAAGTATCAAGCCATTCTGTCCTTGAGCTGCTGCATGACTGTGTGTTCTCCAAGCCATGTGCTACCTGTGGCTTGCAGCTTCCATTTCCAGATGGCTCCCAGAAGCCCCTCAGTAGTCCACACTCCATGGCAGGCCCCACCCCTTG